AGCAGGTAATAGTGGCAACCAAGCAGGAGTGGCAGGAACTGGTAATGGTGGTAGCCCAGGAGAGGTGGCAGGATTTGATATTAGTGTCAGCAGCAGGTTACATGAGGTGGTAGTGGGGCAGTCCAGCAAAGGATGCAACACCTGGAAATGGTCACCAAAGCTAGTAATGGCGGCAGCAGCAAGAAAAATGGGGTAGGAGGAACTGGTAAATATGGCAGTCCAGCAGAAGTGACAGGAGCTGGTAATAGTGGCAGTGGAAGACCAGGAGAGATGGCAGGAGCTGCTAATGGTGGTAGGCCAGCAGTGGTGGCAGTAGCTGTCAATGGTGTAATCTACCTTTTCTTTTTTGGGCCAGATTCCAAGGAAACATGTAATCATTAGCATTAACTAAAATGTTTTCTAATCATTACTGATCCTAGACTGGTTTATTTTAATGAAAGTGATCCTGTCCACAGTGTCAAGGGACAGGTGGATTTGTCTAGCTGTACAAAACAGCCTGCTGGGCTAGAAGCGCTCTCGGAAAGCAAGCTCCAGCTTGTACTCTGCAAGCACTGCCCAGTGTTCCAGCATGGACATCCAATAGTGCTTAAGGTCCTCACTTCTAAGAGTGTTTGCATCAGCTCTGGACCCCAGCTAATCTGCAATCCTATGATTGAGGCACTGCCTGTGACTCCGGCCTGCAGCTGGGCCTGCCCACTGTAGTAAAATAATTTTAAAATGTCACTGAGATACCATCATTGCTGCTTCTCCTTTCTGATGTGGTGAAAAGAACCCAAGTTACCCAGAGCCTGTTGTCATTCCTTACTCATGCAGATACTAATTGATGGACCACTGCTGCTGGTGCTGCCAGTGCTGCCAGTGCCCCATGGTGAACATTTCAGAGTGTGGGTATATTGAATATCAGGCAAGTTGGCTGGCTGCTGTAGTTATTGCTGTATTTCACCCTCTTGCTTTTGAAGAGCTTCTAGAATCTCTGGCCCACTTTGGCTCCTATCCTTCTGGCACAGCAGCTGCAAAATAGCATGTCAGTCTTTTGCATGATCTGTTGCATAGGACCTGGGTCACTTAGGGATATTGGCGGTTCTGAGGAGCCACTAGAAGAGTTAGTAGAGGTGATTGCCAAGATACAGGACACGGGGCAGCACCACCAACTCAAATGGTATGTCTCATCATGCATTCTACCTAGCTCCCAGCAAATTTACCCAGTGGGCCATATAGAAGATTGAAGTCCCTGCCCATGCTGTACAATATGTCAATAAGCATGTGGTCCACAACATAGAGAAATGCTGGTGGAGGGCAAGGATGACCTTCTAGGAAAAACAATGGCAGATGAGTAACTGTCACTATGGTCCAGCACAGACCATAAACTGAAAGAAGGGGTTGAATCCATCAGGTGGAATAGAAGCAGCTGTAAAGCTAGCAGTTTTGCCAAGCCGGCATTGAGATGCTGGACATGGGAGTGATAATGTTTTCTTCCATTCAAGCAGTTACAAAGCAGACTCTTGGCTTGTCAGGGATTGCCAGGTGGGGTCAGGAGACTTACAGCAAGGTTTAAGCCTATACCTGGCCCTACTTTGCATGTTCCCATGCTGACCCTCCTCCCTGCTTGATGTTCTATGAAGTAAGCCTTAAACCCCTTGTCAAAATTACCTCCCTATCACTTGAGGCCCCAGATGATGCAGCATATGCAGATGGAGAATCTTGTGGAGTGGGGAAGAGTTAGAGGTGGAAATGGAAAAAAGAGGAGTGTGGGCCTTTTGCTGCCTACCAGTATCATTGATATGCTGCTCCAACCGAGTTTTGTGGTGCAGAATCATATGTCCTCTCATGCATTTGGTACCCAAATGACTGGTAGGTTTGCCACAACTGATATTCTGCACACATAGGCTGCAAACCACAATGCTGCTGTAGGCAATGCATGTGAAAAAGACCCAGACTGCTGAGCTATGTGGAGAGGCTCTGGGGATTGCAGTGGTCTCTACCCATAGGGCAGTTCCATCTAGTGGAATGGAATGGCTGCTCCCTCCAGTCCTCTGCAAGCTACATCTATCATTGTTCCTCAATTAAATCCTGCCTCGCTGCTATTCTGCCTCTCTCTAGCTTTGCTCTTCTACAATCTCAAACACAAGGTATGGTCAGCCACTATGTAATCCCCATCCTAATCATTGCTTGAGCCTACTTGGAAGTAAGCTGCAGGAATATTACAGCCATGCTGCCCAAAGTTACCCTCCTCTATGCTCCTGGTGCTCCTTCCTCAATATTTCTATACACTTAATTTTTGCTCATTCCCCTGCAGACGTTTACTGATGTTGTGCTGAAATGATTAATCTTACTTCTCATTGCCAGTTTGAGGGGCTACAGCAGTAATAGCTGTAGACGGCATATTGGCAGCTGCTGGGGAATCTGTGCTGCTCTGCTCCTTGGAGGAGGCTTGGTTAGCCAATCTATGACATCCTCCATTTGCTGTATAGCATGCCCCACTGACAGAACAAAAGGTAGACAAGCCCTGCCTCTCAAAGGTGTGGCTCTACCACCGTTGTGTCTAGCAGATGCAGAACCGGCTCCCCCCTACTAACTGCCTGTAAAGAACCTCTGCCTCTCTCTTCAGGCCTCCTAGAAATGATGAATATGGAGGATTTCCTAACTTCATTATCAGCCGTGACATAGGGGAATTGAGAATGTGGTACTGGTTCACTAGACCAGTCTTTCTCAAGAAGGTGTCTTCTGGCTACCTCAAAATGTTTGCACAGAGGCACTGGGACTGCGAACTTGGGTGTGAAGGGGGACTGAGGACTGTGGTGTCAAGGGAGAACTGAGGACTCTGATGTTAAGTCAGGACTGAGGACTTGATGTGAAGGGGGCTCCTGGTGTGAAAGAGGTACTCCAGTAGGAATGGGGGCATTCTTATATAATGGGAGTTCCTAGTATGAAAGAGGTTGATGCTGATTTGAAAGGGGGGGCTCCGATGTGAAGTGGGTTCCTAATTTGAAGAAGAGACTCCTGATTTAAAGTGGGGTGCTCTGGTGTGAAAGGTGGACCTCTGATGTAAGGGGTGTTTATGCAAGGGATCCCTCCTGAAAACCTTTACCAGACCCCTATCTCAGAAAAATTTCTGAAATGGACTTTGGAGATACCACAACTCATTTGTGCATACTTTTAAAGGGTGCCGTGATGGAAAAAAAGTTTAGAAATGTTGTACTAGACTATACCACACAAGTATGTAATGATGTGCTGCAAAAAAAGGGGCAGTTTGGCCTGGAGACTTGGCAATAAAAAAGACCATATCACAATTATATTTAAATAAAATATTTCTCCCCAAAGCAATAAATCGTAAAACACTAAACCCCAACTCAGAAACTCTAAACCACAACCCTATATTTGTGTCCTTTTATTTAACCACTCCATGCAGGCTCACATAAATACAAGAACACGGCTGCTGCTGTTTTAAATAGCAGGTGATTGCTGTTTCTGTACAAGTGATCCGGCCTCTGTACATGCGTCGGATTGATTGTACAGTGCGGCTCTGTGTCCCCCTCCTCTTCTGCTGGTGCTGCCGCCAGCTTCCCCAGGCTCCGCTGTCCCCTGTGCAGGCCCAGGACCAGCAAGGCAGGTCTCCCCTGAGGGATCTCTCCTTCAACTACTGGACCCGGATTTGATGTGCATTACATCACTTCCAATGCCAATGTGCACATTCTCTGGCTCCTAGAGTCAGAAGAAGAAGCTGGTGAAGCAGATCTCTGCTTTATCAGCTTCTTTGGAGACCCTTGGTGAGTTTAGGGGTCTGAAAGACCTCTTATGTCTTCATAAAGTGGACCTGTCACATCCTATTTGTTATTTCATAGGGGGTTGTTAGCCCCCTATGTGATAGCAATAAAGTTGAGTGTAAAAAACACAAAAAATATGCCAAAAAGTTTTTTGAAAGGCCTCCACCCCAAACAAGCGTCGGATGCGCCTACATGCAAAAATGAAAATTGCACCACACATGTTACATATCTAAGCAAGCATGTGAGAGCAATAATTCTAGGGCCATCAATCACTGTTAACACTAAACTGATGAGTAGTAAAAGCGTTTAAAGCATCGCCTATGGGAAATCTTGGGTATAGTAGTTTTTTGCGGTTTCCTGGACGCACGCAATTTTAAGGCTTGACATGTTTGTTATCTATTTACCCGATGTGACCCTGGGTATGGCACATAAGAAAACCCCCATTGTTGGCCCTTCTATGCCAACTCACCACAGGTCAAGACCAGGAAATGCATTATTTGTAATTGGTTGCGATAACAGCAAATGGTCACATTAGTTCACATATTTTTTCAAAATTGAAAAACAACCTAAGCTGAATCCAAAGTTCATCCATAATAACTAGTATTACTTAGCAGATGTAGCAGTAAATAGCAAGTGCTCTATGCCTACTTTCCTTGTACTTGCCCTGGGTACCCATTTTCCAGGTAAGTCAGCTTCTCATCATATTACCGGTATATATGTTGGTATTTTTAATACATTCTCAGTTTTCACAACCTCCTTTGATTTTGTGGAAGATTTAATGCCCCCATCACCAGTGTTGGTTTTGTTTACAGCATATATAGTACAACTAGGGATTAGTGGAGATTAGGATGAAGTAAAATTCATGCTCTGAGGATGAGTTCTTGGAAAATATGAAGAGAAGGAGAGCAAATGGTATCATGGTTTATTGTCACAGTGTTAGATTTAAATTCTTGCTGTGACATACAACTATCCGTTCAAAAATATCAGCTGCTCTGCTTGTATTAATTACTCTATTGCTACTTTGCAAAATGCTTGGGAACTAAATAGAGTCATATTTGGTAATTGCTATCTCTAATCGTTGCTCCTGTTTGTGTAAATATGTATTTTAAAGTGCACATATACAGTACCTATAACAATTTTAGTGAGTAGGTCCTTGTTATTTTGATCATTTTCAACAAGATGGCAAGAAAATTACATCCAGTTTAATTATAATGTAATTACATATTTGTGTTCTAGGGTGGAAGTTAAATCCTGTTGTTGGTGCAGTTTACGGTCCTGAATTCTATGCAGGTAAGATTTCAAAGATTTCAAATGTATTTGTTAATGCAAACAAATTCAACTATTAATTGGAAGTTGATGAAGGTACCTGCTGAAATGTGGCATCAGCATCGTTAGGATTGTTCTAGAGCACTAATGACCTACATAAGATCTTATAAAAAAAAGTAGCCTTGGTAGCTCTCCACTTTCAACAACTAACAGACTTGTGAACATAAGTAGACCTTAACTCAAAATACTTACCTCTTCTCTGGAGAGGGGTTCCCTGTAAAGGCTATCTTACTTATATGTTCATGTTTGCTGCGGTGAAGGACAAAGTCTGTGAGAGGCAATTGCTCCAATTTGTTGTCTCTGCCTAACTAATGAGATCCACTAATTGGAATTGGGAAGTGATTGCAGAGACTCAGCTCTACAAGAGAGGTACATATTTTGAATTTAAGTCTAGTTTAACTTTGGAGCTTATAGCCTGATTGTATAATTTATGCAAAATCATATCATACAGGCACAGATGGCTTGATTTATCAAATGCCTTTAATCGGTGCAGAACTTGTTTTGTAACATCACTAAACAATGTCTGTTAAGTATCGCGGATTCATTAAAATCATTGCTATAAAATTTGTATGCAATAATAAGTGATCCATACAAGCTATACTAAATCATGCTTGTGAATTTTCCATTTATTTTAAGCAGGTATTAGGATTAAAATCATTATAAAGCCTCTGTATTTGATGTTTTCTCCACAACCACACCTTTCAGCTGCTGGGAGCAGAAGAAGCCATCCTGTGTAATCTACAAGTTAAGTTGTAGCTTATGTAGAACAATGGACTCTTTCCAAGGCTCATGCTTGGCGATTTGTTCAGCACTGCCACTAGGAGTGAGTCACATGCTCCTCTATACCTGAAAGTATTAGGTTGTTTCACTCTTAGCAGCTGAACAGAGTGCACAGGTAAAGCAGACATTTGCTCTAAAAACACTAGCCTGGCATACCAGATACACAGATAGGTATCCCTATGGTTAATATCAGCAAGTATACTAACCCTCTTCCATGCTGAAATCACCCTGTCTAAATACACAAGGAAAGTATGTTTTTACTGGAATCTTGGTGTGTTACTGTATGTATATTGTTTCCAGATCTGTGCAGAAATTCAGTGTAAAATGTTGCCTCTGTGCAGGAACTTCCTGTAATAAAGACCAGTCTCTGCTGCTCTCTTTCCTTGTGCAGAGTGACTAGTTTTATATCTGCCCCTTCCTGTAGTGTTCTGTGGGCATCATGTAGTGGATGGAGCTGTTCTCTCCCACAGCTCTGCACTCTACGCAGGTTTTGTACAACACAGTGGTGAGGTCACTGCTACTTTTACAAGGTATTATCTGGGTTTGAAAAACATTTGGTGCACACAAAGTGGATTTGTGTCCTTTGCTGCTGTTGAGGAATATAATCAAAACGCTACTGTATTTTATGTATCAAATTAATACTAAGAAATATTTTTGCAGAATAAAGTTTTTGTGCTCTGTTCAGCTTGGATATCTGTGCATCAGCATGAAAGGGTTTCAAGGATGTCTTTTACTAAATCTGGTGTAAACTAGCAGTATAAATATGGTTTGTAAAGAAATCCGCTTACCTAAAGTGTAACCATGGAAAAAATCAATAATGACATATATGATGTAGTCTGCCAATAGCATTACCACAGTAGTTGTTTTTTTTAAGACTCACCCATGTAACAGTTTTATAACCTGTTGCTCGACAGATCATTTTTTTCCTTTTCCTATAACAGGCCAAGCTGTTCAGCAGAAGTGGCAGTTGTGGAGAAGTTGGGAAAATGATATTACACTTGTGGGGGTGCTCACATCAGTTAACTTTTTGTCTTTAGCTTAAAGTCCTTTTGAAAATAAATTTCAGCCTTAGACTGCTCTATCCACAAGGTGACAATGCTGTTGTGTAATTCCCCATCAGAAACAATATTTTTATTATAACCCATCTAACTTTACACCTTCAGTAAGCATGATACATATTCTCCTCCTCTGTGTTGCTCCCTTCCCTCCCCCTACCTGTACTACTTTAAGAAGAATATTTGTTGTTTCAGCAGTTATGAAGGAAACACACTCAGCTTTAGACCCTCAGGCATGTTCCGCATGTATGTTCAACTGACAACTGGGGGGAGCCAGCCGCTTGTCACGGCTGGCCCTGCCAAGTTGTTGTCATTCAATAACAGCCCAGCGTGCTCAAGGATACTGGGCTGTCATTACATGACAGCAACTGGGCAGAGCCGGCTGTGATGTCACAGCTGGCTCCACCCATTTGCTGTCCTTCAATGACCGACCAGCATCCCCAGGTTATTTGAGGACACTGGGCTGTCATTAAATGACAACAACTGGGCAGAGCTGGCCGTGACGTCACGGCCGGCTCTGCCCAGTTGTTTTCATTTGTCTGACGCCTGCAAGAAGACTGTGGCAGGTGGTGGCCAAATGTAAACATTTGGGTAGAGCTAGTGGTAATTTCATCGCTAGCTCCGCCCAATTGTTTGTATTTCCTATATGGTTACCAGGTAACCAGGGACGCTGATCTGTCATTACTCTCCCAGACGCTTCGGGAGTCTCCCGCTATTAGATAGCTTCTCCCGGCCACCCGGGAGAGAAACACTTTCTCCCAGAAAGGTTTACTCTGCTCAATCCAGCAGAGTAAATCTTTCCCTGCTCCGTTTTTTCTTCTGACATCGGAGCCGCTGGCCGCCGTCAGTCAGAGAAAAACAATAGCATTGCAATGCATAGCCACATTCCTATTGGCTATTTCAATTTGCAATAGCCAATAGCAAACTAGCTATTGCAACCGCCCACTGCTGCTGGGAGGGGACCTGAAGTTCTCCATCAGGTCCCCTTCTAGTGATTGACAGCAGCAGAGGGCGGGTGCAGTAGCTAGTTTGCTATTGGTTATTGCAAAGTGAAATAGCCAATAGGAATCTAGCTATGGTGTTTTTTTTTATTCTGACAGCAGCATAACCGTCCGGCCAATAGAAAACAGTTGGGTGGAGCTAGCTGTCACTGCTAGCTCCGCCCAATCGTTTTCCATTTTGTTTTCTACTTTTTTAAACTATTTTTCTATTCTGCTGGGTACCATAGAGGTACGGCGGCATTCGGCTATTCACTCACTGCTGTTCGTTATCTATGAGAATAGGCCGAACAGCAGCGAGTAGCCTGCCAGATGTTGAATCGGTTGAGTCGAACTCCTTCTGCACTTCGGGTTGGCCGAACATGCTGGGCATGTTCGCCCGACCCGAAGCCACACGAAGCAAGCTGATGTATGGCTGAAATCAGCCGTACAAGCCTGAAGTGAATAGCCAAACGGCGTTCGGCTCACTTACTTCGGGTCGGTTATTCACTCGGCTGCTTACGGCAGCTTAGTGAATAGACCCCGTAATGTTTTTCTGTGTTGCATTTATGTGATGTGGGACAACTGGCAAACACAGCAATAATTAAATGTGTATGTCTGGAGTTCAGCTTTAATGTCACTTTAATTATAAGAAAGTACACTGCTTTCATATTTGTATATCTTTATTCATGGATTCATATATTTTTGTAGGTCAAAATAACTTCAAGACAAGATGGTAAGGAGGGCCCTGCCCCTGAGGGCTTACAATCTAGCAGGGAGGGGGAAGTGATACATGAGGAGGTAGCTGTGTGGGGATGAATTGTCTGATGTGATGGTTGTGCCATTGGGTTGAGGCAGCATAGGCTTCCCTGAAGATATGAGTCTATGAAAAGACCCATATACTAGGGAGAGTTTGATCCTCCACATATCTGTTTCTGATGGGTTGAGTTTTGCCAACATCTATTCTTCAATGAGATACTGTACTTACTGCTTCTGCTCCCCATTACAGTTCCCAGCCATGATGAACAGGAAAACCAACATGTAACATGTTTGGATGCTTCTAGATGCATATTAGGTTAAAGAATTTAACGATTTTTAAAAACTGTGTGCCTATCTAGTAGCTCATCATACAGGGGTGGCAGTCTTCTTTTCCCCAGTGGACAGTAAAATGGTGCACTTAAACCCCTCCCAAAGCATCCTCTTCCTATTGGGCATCAGGGGTGCAGAACATAACAATTGCAATCATTATTTTATGCTGGTGTTTTTTGGGGGACCACTCCCAACTCTCTCTAATGCTGAAGGGAAGTTGGCAGCAGCTGAATGGCAAGGTTGTTGCTGACACACACAAATAGGTAGTTATAAACAAGCAGGGGACAAGAATACTGTAACTCTCCATACACAAATTGTCAGCTCTTCCTAAAGTACTCTAACACACTGACAAATGGCTGCTGGGATCCTACCCTTTTATAGTTAGAGGGCTGACACATAACAAAGTATCCATTATAGACTCAAAGGCTATGCAGTGCATTATATTTACAAATAATTCTGTTTGCCAAATTCCTGCATCAATTCACTTACACTGCAATCCCCAAACATGCAGGATCCACTGTGAGCTCATGGCAGGGCAAAACCAAATCTCACCCCTAATTATAAATAACTGAAGCTGGTGCCTGCAGGCACTTTGTATCTACAAAAGCACTAGTGAAAAGTGGGGGGGGAGGAGAGGGTGGGGGGGAAAAGTAAGAAGGAGGAGAGGAGGGTGGGGTGGGGCTGGTAGTCTTCAGCCATAATGACAAAGAGCAACAACGTGTAAAATGTATTGGGGACCTGAAATCAGATGTAGAACTGTATTTTAGCCAACAGAACCAAATGATTCACAATTTGGAATTCTAAGAGCTGGCAATATCTTCCATGATTGTAATGTTGTTTATTTGGTCAAACCAGTGTTTTATTGTTAGTGGTTTAGATTGTTTCCACAGTGCTGGATGACATTCTCAGGTTGCATCACCATTTGGATTATGATTAAACTTTTGAAGGGGACAGAATTGTGGTAAAGTAGCAAGAAGTGAAGTTATTTGGGATTGGTATATCCATATATTTTTGATTAATGTTCCTAAAAGTTGCTGAGTGTGGGAAAGGACCAAAACAATTG